GGTATAAATTTTAATAAGGCAAACAGCACACAGACAGCACAATTAGGTATAAAAATAACCAAAGGTATAAATTATAATAAGGCAAACTGCACACAGGAAGCACATTTAAGTATAAAAGTAACCAAGGGTATAAATTCTAATAAGGCAAAAAGCACACAGGAAGCACAATTAAGTATAAAAATAACTAAAGATATAAATTCTAATAAGGCAAATAGCACACAGGAAGCACAATTAAGTATTAAAATAACCAAAGGTATAAATTCTAATAAGGCAAACAGCACACAGACAGCACAATTAAGTATAAAAATATCAAAAAGCATTTACACACCCCTGAAGGAAGAACACGCAACTCACATACATCACAACAACAACAATCAACTATACATCAAAAGCATTCACACACACCTGAAGGAAGAACACGGATGTATCACATGTGGAAATGCGGTAGCGGGTGGGCCGTGAGTGCTGCGTGCCTTCGCAGAATCCATGGTCTCTTTGTGACAGTGTGAGCAGCCGTTTGAGGTGTGTCGACTGATTGAGGCGCTGCCAGCCACTGGACTCAGCCCACGCAGGTATCACCACCACGAAACTCAGTGGTTTATTCTCTCTATCACTCCTGTCTAACAACACGTCTATATGCATAGCCATGCGATGGATCACGCCGTCTTCAAACGGTGGATTGGCTTCAAAGCTACCAGACAGCGGGTAGAAGTCAAAGAAGGACCCTATAACAGCAATGCGACAGTGGGAAGGTGTCAATAGCGCCTGTGACATACACCGTGGCATCGTAGTGAGGGAGAGTTTAGGTCGCTCTAGTGATTGATTGTCTGCTGCGCATGCGACTATGAAGTACGTTATTCTATCGGCGGAGCGAAACACACCGCAATTCCTGATGACACTTTTTGATACGGATATGCCAAACCTACGACAACGTAGTACAGCATGAAGGTACAATAATCATCTAGCCGCACAAAAATCTGCCGATGCAGAGTGAACAAGCGACCAGCTAGTCACCTACGTCAACTGCAGGCATGCTAACATGCTTTTTCCACTGGCATATGAACTGTACGACGACAATCTTAAACCCATCGAAGACCATAGGTTAATAGAACTTTCTTCGTTTGAGAAGTACGTACACACATGCAGTGCATAGATACACAGCGTTTAAAAAAGGGCGCAACAGGAGAGTGTACTGTCTAACTGTCATACGCCACTCACCTACGCTGCCGAATGGTCCGTCGGTATCGGCGAACATGCTGCAGTACTGTCCGTAGCGCGAGTTCAGCGGCGACGCAAAGCATTCGAAATTGACTCCAAAGTTACGCAACAGTGCATCTGTGTTGTGTGTGTGAAGACTAGTGAGATGCGGAAAGCAGTGGATGAACCAGACGACATCTATTTGAATAGTGGTGTGTGAAGACTAGTGAATAGCGGGAAGCAGTGGACGTACCAGACGACATTTACTTGGATGGTGGTGTGTGTGAAGAGTAGTGAATAGCGGGAAGCAGTGGATGAACCGGACGACATTTGTTTGAATGGTGGTGTGTGTGAAGACTAGTGAGTTGCCAGAAGCAGTGGATGAACCAGACGACTTTTACTTGAATGGTGGTGTGTGTGAAGACTAGTGAATAGTGGGAAGCAGTGGATGAACCAGACGACATCTACTTGAATGGGTGTGTGAGTGTGAAGACTAGTGAGTTTCCAGAAGCAGTGGATGAACCAGACGACATTTACTTGAATGTGCAAGCGCAAATTGGAACAATTGAGAAATGACTGCAATCCTGAAACAATCGTCGTCCATAGCATCATCAAACATTGTGGTGACATGGGCACCGCGTCTGCGCAAACATATCCCAATCACAAACTAACTGCAACGATACTGTAGTATGCGCACACGCAGCTGAAGAGCACGATGGCATCGTCACATACACACACACACACACACACACATCGGTTCGAGCCCCCAAACTCTGCTGCGTATGCTTTTTGTTTTGAGATCCACATCGTCAGACCAACGGTACGACTTCACATACCAAAGGTGTCCTCGATCAACGCAGCCTGCATGCCTCCGCCCTGCACATGCCCCCCCTGTAGTGTGTGGTATCTGACCAATAGACTGAACACGCGCGAGTTCAGAGCGCTGTCATCGCCTCGTTCGCTTTGGGGTGCGTTGCGCGAGTGCAGCAGCCGCAGTTTGTCGTGGTGGGCCTACCAGGACACAGACACAAACAACAACCACGTGAGTTATACTTAGGCACAAACAACAACCACGTGAGTTGTACATAGGAAAGGACACCAACGTATACGGATATATGTGCGTGGTGATGGAGGCCTGGCTTTCACTATGTGATACATACACTAGGGGCGTATAATAAACCTAATATAACACTACACAAAGCACTGCACCGAGAGAGTCCGCAGCAGAAACAATCAAGCAGTGAGATTGATTGTAGGGCTGTGTCCAAGATGATGGTAGCACAGGAGGCTCGAGCTCAATACGCCTGTGGTAGTGCACACTATTCTGGACGGTTGCTTTAGGATGAGTGTATCTGCGCGGCATGATGGTTTTGACATGCCCCACATTCTTATAGCATCCAAGTTGATGTGATACTAGTTTATACTACAGATGCAACCAAATATTAGAACTCGTCACTCGTGACTGCAGGCTTGGTACAAATACAAATGCAACATTTGTGCATTGAGCCGCTTTCAACAGTAAAATTGCGTTCAAAGACAATCGTCAAATCAAATGCTGTAGGCGCTTTCTCTAATGGTTGTCATGCTGGTGTGCACAATCTCAACGGTACACATTCAAGCATGCGAACGTAAAGACATCACAAACAAAACCAAAGCAATCACGGTATCTCGTCAGACTTACAAACAATCTCAGAGAGCTTCTCATAAACGGACAGCTACAATGTGCACAACAGACGTTAATGACGGACAACGATTTAATGCACTGGCCCGAAAACTACTCAACAATACCCATCCAGCACAAGCTATTGCTGCGCATATACGACAAACAGAACTAACAATAACAAACTTAAAGCATTGGCAGTACGCACTACAGGTACACAATATTGCAACACAACATTTGCCAATCACAAACCATCCGCTAACGAGAGTACAGTATTGCTAATAGACACCGTCCTTACCTTGTTGATGCGCACAGTCATTTGGTTGTAAGTCAGGTCGAAGGCCCGCAGGTCTGTAGTCGCCCGCTCTAGCAATGCCTCGCGCGCCCTATACAAGTAATCATCCCTAGTGATTAAGACATGTGAAGACATATATCTCCTCACATAGGCCGTTCTGACCAATTCAGCACCAATGAACCCGGTCGCGTTATGAACAAAAACAGGAATACACTATAGCCTGGATGTTCTAAAGACACGCGCTTACTTCTTGCCTGTGATAACCACCTCCACACAATCTACTGATCGAGCGCGAGCGCTGGTCTCAGCAGTAGTCCTGGCCATCCTCTCGGTTTCTCGGGCAGCAGCTGCACATAGTTTCCGAGCAACGCCTTGCGCAACTATAGCATAATAAAGTACACACCCTTCAGTTATGGATTTATACACCTCAAGGTATATATATATATATATATATATCATTCAGTTTGAAATATACACACATTCAACCACTGGACAAGAAGACATCTCGCCCACCGCCATAAACACGAGCAAGTTAAAACCGTATAACAAGACTCATGCCGTTTAAATACGACTGATACCGTTTAAACACGACTGATACCGTTTAAACACGACTGATACCGTTTAAACATGACTGATACCGTCTAATGGCTCCGTAAATTGATACGGTATACAGGGAACAGCGTGAAATGGGCGCGAGACATTCTCAATATAAACAAAACTCATACGATTGTTGGCATGCGACCTGTCAAGGTGTCGACTTTAATGACAGTAATGTCTACACATACTGAATACACACATCATAGGACCCACCCGTTTTCTGCATGCCTGCGCCCACCAAATCTGCGACGAGGCCGTCGGCTGTGGGTTGGCTGGGAATCACTGGGTCAGGGGCTATACCTTCACTCGCTGCTTGTTGCAACAAGAAATCGGCTTTAGAATGGCGTATGAGAAAGTATATCAGCATGAAAGACTCTCACAGAACATCGAATCCTACATAAGTTAATTTAAGGACCAAACATCGAATCCTACATAAGTTAATCTAAAGACCATCTACAACTCACCACATTGATTGGACTTGCTCGCTCGCTCGCAGTTGAATATCCAGTTTTCAAAGAATACGTTATTGAATCTTATTCTGTTGTTCTGAAAGGTAAAAGTGGTATAATGCATTGCTGATTAGCATACGCTACAAAACGCAGGATAAACACGCATTGATTTAGAACATCGGATGCCGAGTGTTTGCAAGGACGTGTCCACAAGAAGCGAAATATGCAAGGGGTGCAAATGCATAGCACATGGCAAACATACTCGGCAATCCGTCTCCAGCTGATACTGTAAACGATTCACAGCCTTTTGCCTATAAATCTCAAGGTTAGGATCAACCCGAGATGTCGTCGATACATTTTTCTGGTGACTAGATTGTGGCCATGTTTCTAGAGAGAGCTTGGTGTTCGGGTTCCATACGCAACCCAACGGAGGAGCTTCACTCGTGAAAGTCGCTTCTGCTGTTTCATCTACTACCTCATGATCTTTGCTAGTATCAGACTCTGCACTTTGGGGTTGTTCTGTGTGCGTGTTAACAGTTTCGTGTTTGCGATGCCTTTTTTTTGCTTTTCGTTCTTTCTGCTTCTTCTCTGTAACACTTCCGTCTGTAGCTTTATCCGAGTGCATCCCGCCCTCGCCCCCATCGTCGTCGCTTTCTTTGGATTTCTTAGATTTCTTATTCTTCTTATCTTTTTCCTTGAATTTTTTAGTTTTCTTGTTCTTCTTATCCTTTTTAGCTTTCTTGACTTTTTCCGATTGTTTATCTATTTTAGAAGGCTTCGCTGCTGATTCACTCGACTGTTGGTGTCGCAAATTTGTTTCCACACTGAACGGCCTACTCGTTTCCTTTTTCCTCCGCTTCTTAACAGGCCCAGTCTCTAACCCATCATGCGCTACATCTGTCGCCTTATTGTATTCTATTGTCTTACGCTTCACCAGCCTCTCGTCTTTAGCGTGCTTCCATTTCGGTTTGGAGTGAGAATGTGACTCATCCCCAGCCTGGACAGACTGGCTTGCAAGCTTTTTGTTTGCCATCTCGGTATAATTGTTCTGCAACACAGGGAGGGAGCTGTCACTTTCCAGACAATCAGTTCTGTAACGGTTGAAAGTATTGATCTCTCAAACAAAAATAATATCTACAGCAAGATACGTCAAGCAAGGTAACGTTTCAAAATCACATATATAAGAATATTTCGAGTGCTCTTATCAATTCAAATCACACCACATGCATTTAAATTTACCGTGTTACCGGAGTTTCACACTTAAAACCGGCTTTGTATTACTTCACCGGCTTTGTAAATACTGGTCTGTCTGACCATATTAATTTTTGATACGTTTTAAATAGGGAGCGTGTGTCAAAATCACTACATCAGCCCCAGACTCAGAGAGAATGACCGCGCCCTGAGAATTTACGACAAAAAGAAACCTACGCCACATATTTAATTAATTTGGCGGGCTTTCCCTGGTACAGCTTTTTTTCAGCCTCTCCTAAACAAGAGAGTTATCGCCATCGGATAAATACATAGTAGTGATATACGTACTATATATTGGGTTGTTTGAAGTTTTTATGTCGTGTGGTGTTGGGCTGCCTTCAAGAATAGCACACGACACACAGTTCAGTTCATATATAGCATGCTCATGCATGTACCGTAATATTTATAAACAGAAGTACACGCCCGTTTGAAAACATCACCATGCCGGATAAACGGGCGCACAGAGATGATGTTGAACTCGATGCGGTAGATGCCACACACAAGACTATCAGAACTGGGAAGCGTGGGCAGGGATCCGCCCACGAAAGTGGTAAGACACAGCTCACACGCACCGAGAGCTCACATGCAATGAAGGAAAAGAAACACCCTCAAACACGTTATACCGCACGAAGTACCACTGCCGAAGAGACTCCGGCAAGTGTTGCACACCTTGAGCATTTGCATGAGGCCCCTATCCACGTTTTGCGCAAAAAGCATGTGTCGCGATTCGCCAAACTGGGACTGGGTTATAGCAAATCAAAGTTAGGAATCTCACCTGTTGGTCAACAATATAGAATGCAAGTCAGCGGCAACACTCAGGTATGGTATGGCTGGGCCATTCATTCTTCTCCGTCGCAACGGATACATGTGTATCCTATGACACGAGCCCTATCATGTAGTGCTCTATAATATACAGAGGTATCATACTACATGAGATGTAACGTGTCATGTCTCAAACAATACATGGGAATCATGTTACATGAAATCTTATATGTAGTGCCCTAAAAGATACACGGATATCATAGTACACGAACTCACGTGTGTGTCTTTTATGTTGCATGTACATATCATCGATCTCTAACGTGTACTGTCTTATAAGATACATGTGTATCACATTACTATATCTTTATGTGCAGTGTCTTATAGAATACGTGAGTATCATACTATATGAACTCTTACGTGTAGTGTCTTCTATGTTACATGTGCATATCATCGATCCTAACGTGTACTGTCTTATAGATATATGTGTATCACATTACTCGATCTCTATGTGCAGTGTCTTATAGACTACATTACACGAGCTCTTACGTGTGGTGTCTTTTATGGTCATGCGCATATCATTGATTTCTAGTGTGTACTGTCTTGTAAGATACATGTGTATCATATTACTTGAGTTCTAAATGTAATGTCTTATACAATATATAAGATTCATATTACATAAGCTCTTACGTGTAGTTTCTTTTAAGATACAGGTGTATCATATTATAGAGGTCTAACGTGTGGTGTTTCGTTAGATACATGGGTATCATACTACATGATCTCCAACGTGTAACGTCTTATAAGACACTTGTGGGTACCATGTTATATCTGTTGTAACGTGTAGTGTCTGGTATTGTGACCCTAGAGCGTAGGGGCAGATCCAAAGAACCCAATTCTGTGCGCAGAGCCTGCTACGGAGTGCACCGTTGATATGTCACCGTGCATGACTACCAACAGTCCATACGCTGCCACCCCGTGTCATCACGCAAGGTGTGTACATGATTTATGCTCTGAATGTCACGCGCTATCTAGCATGTCTGTTGTTGCGTTGTTTGCCCTCAAGTGAATATTATACGAAGTTTAGCACGAACAGATTCGACTGCAGGGGCTCGCAGAAGGGCATGTCACTCGACAGCCAATACTCAGCCGATGTGGCGGGATCTTGGCATAGCTATACTCCACCAAGCTACAAGATTGGCTCCACCGCTGGTATGCCTGTAGTTTCTGAGCGAAGTCAGTTGGTGGTTTTTTTACTCGGGAGGCTGCCAAGGCGAAAGCTGATAGTTTGGACTGAAGTGGAAATTGTGGCAATCATATGCTCCTTATGAATGGCAAGCGCATTCAGTATGGTATATATATAGCAATGCGACCATGGATAGCTTTGCTGCGACAGACGAATAATGTGCTATACGTGTAGAACTTGGTAAGCGCACAAGGCGGTATTAATTGCGCCTTGAACGCGAGTAGGACCTATGGAGTTTCCTAGTAACAGTCAAATATATTCAATCGTCTGAAGGTCTCGGACCAATCGCAGAGGTCAGCGGTGGCGCATGTCCCTCACGCGTGCGCGGCGAACATCACCCAGAATTCTCAGCTGCTGGGCCACCTTCGATTGGACCACATCATGATAGGAATGGACAGAGGGGTCCCAACAAGCAAATCAAAGGCCTTATCGCACACTACACGACGGTAGTGCCGGGGCCGGTAGCTGGTGTGTTTGCTGATTTCGATAGGTGGCAATGCTGCAGTAGGTCGATAAAATTAAACTCAAACATGTGTGCCTACTATAACTCCGTTCTACTATACCTTTCATTGGACACCATGTGAGATTGTACGACTATTCATATTCTATACTCACTGGATGGTAAATGTTGATTTAAAACTACGTTTCGAATGCAGGTGGCGCATGCATCACATCCTTGAATGATAAATTCGGACATTTGATTATCAACATAACTAGCATTTCTTGTCTGCATTATGTCTTAACAGTGTCAGATATCAGCACAAACCAGTGAATCAATATGGCGAAAAGACTACTATTGTTACACTACTATTGTTGACAATAATACTATGAACCGATATTCTGATAGTTGTGGCCTCAAATTTGCGATCATCAGATTTCCTGTTGAGATGCTCAAGCGACATCCAGTGGACAGCTGATGTCGAGGAGAGACTGGTGGCTGCGCTCGATACGCCATCCACACTTAGCAGCACCCAAACACAACTTATAATCGCAGGTGCGATTGCCTCTGAATTCGCACGGCAGCACATGACTGTGTACCCCCGATTAAAGGTGATAAAGGCTCTGCTATTGGTACCGAATAGATACCTGAAATTCTGTGGTAGCTGTCGTCCTGCTTGCGGCGTGCGGCTACATCATTCTATTGGCAGTTTACCCAACTTTTTAACGAGTATTAATTTTGCTGATGAGTTATTGTTATTGTACATGGTCCTTCAGGTACTCCCGCCTCAACAACTAAGCATATTCCAGGTGCTAGTAGACCCCCTGACTCCACAGCCGATCTCTGCATGGGAGGTAATGTTGATTTAATATCAGCGTGTAGGTTGCACTATATACAGAGCTTCACTAGGAGTCACAGCAGTGGCGTAGCTGTCAATAGTGATGTGATAATTGCGACCAATACTACTAAGATTCGAAGCGGTCCTTTGTCGCTAACTTGCTTTGTATGTTACACAGTCCGCGACAGATCATCACTAGCATCTTCCACATCAACATAGTTCTTTCTCCACTGACAACAGTGCGCGATGACCATAGAGGGTGACCCCAATTCACTATCCGAAGATCAGCAAATTCGAAACGACTTTATTGAGTGGTGCAGAATCCTTGTGCAGCTGGTAAGCTTCTGCAAATCTATGATTGATTGCTTTTTCTGGTTTAGCCCTCGCATCAAGAAATTTCGTAAGTCATGAATTTCTTTTCACCTCATTCCGAGCATTTGCATCGAAATCTTTAAGCCGATGGATAAAAGGACTTCAGCCAACTTTCACCCAGAGTCGCCATCAAAATGTTAAAGTCGAGAGATTATCACCGCGTTTTGCAACGGACCCATTCATACAACGTTTTGAATCCACCGACACTGGACAATCCTTACAAAACTCTGGAATATAGTCCATAACCCTCATGATGTATTCAATTATATACTGTGCGCCACTACACTGAAAGCGACATGCGCCGTTTCGCAACCACTTCATGCCTTATGTATACGTTTCGAGAAAAAAAAAATTGTTCATACTTCCGTTTTGCCCTCAAAATATGATCAAAACCCGGCTGGCGGAGAATGTGACTCGACGATGAGGTAGTCCAACTCTTACCAATATATCAGGGCCGAATGTCATCTGTCATGAAACGCATATATCCACTAGAACCAGTTCTCTACTGTTGTGTTCGAAAATTCGGGCTTCGTTGCAACAAGTGCCGCCTCGAATTCGAATATTGTTGCCTCAGCTGAGAATATCGAAGGCGTCATAGATTTCATTGACTCGGGTACTTTAAGGCACCCAAACCTCACATGATGGGGGCTAATTTTTAGAACCCACGCCACATGGTACCGTCTATTTCCGAGCAGCAACTGATACAAATTCCAACTCAAGCAATTACTGGATGGGACATGCCTATTCTGCTTCGCTGCAATGTAAGGTGTCCAGACGTGTGCTGAGTGGTGCTTACAGGGTTCAATGTTGTCTACACAAGCGCAGCGAAATTTATCTGCTTTTGGTTGTGTTTAATTGTGTGCAGTGATGTCTGCAACTGCGAACACATCTGATTGTTTAACGTACAGTGTTCTATTGTGCGTACTACAAGTGTAGGCCGTTCATGTGATTTCCAAATTTGTCGCAATCACACGCAATAGTTTAGTAATGCAATGTGCATGTGGTGAGCCACTTTCCGACCTTTCGAGTAAGATCCGGGCTGTTCAACACGATTCCGAAGCTCCGTGCTATGTATTTTTATATCTAAACTAAAACCCCTGGTTCTCCTAATAGCGAGAGGCGACCCTCGACGCGCTGACTCGCCTCGCTGATGAACGTACATGAGCCAACAGATCACTCCTTGAGGCACGAGCAAGTCCATTGTACGAACAGCGTTGCAGTCAGCCAGGCCTATCTTTCGAATCAGAAACCATATGCGCGGGAGCCTTTTAACACAATGCAGTTTCATCCTGAAGAATCTTGAAATTAAACTGATGAAATTTGAACGCACGCCCTGTCTCGTTCACTCCAGGCATGTGTGGCAATGATTCGTAGTGGTGCCCGTGACACACGTGTTGCACCTGCAATTCTAGAGACACGAATACAGACACTGACTCTATGACCGTCATAGGGAACATCGATCATGTGTGTATCAGTTACTTGGCAAAATGATGCCGATGGCGAAGTCGCTGTTGGTCAGCTACTACTCATCTCACGATCGATACGACTCATGTCAGTCCACGTCTGCACCCCAGTAACGATTACATCACGGACATCTGCGAGTTTTTTACCGTTATAGGCTTGCGTTGGGCCTAGTTTGTCCTTGTGAAATAGCGAGTGTCCACAAGCTTCCAACAGCTTTGTAGCTGCCATCTCGTGCTCTGCCAGATACTCGAAGGTGGCAAGCTTCTTAGTTACGCAGCCCACAGCATCTCGGGCAATTGCATACCCACGTTCGTCTGGATATCTTGTCATTATCTCTTGGTTGAAACTATGGTTGTCGTGGGGTACAGCATAACCCCAGAAGGCGGTGTTCGCAGCATCCAGCATTTGTTTCACGGAATCGAGCGCAACATAGTTGGAGTCAGCCGTGATCATCACGTGGGAGAAAATCATGTGTTTGTACACGAGTTTGAAAAAGGCTTGAGTATCAATAGCTTTATCTGCAGCCTCTACATGCATGATTGTTTTCCGTTCCGTCTGATTCCCATCTGCTGGGACTGTCATTACGATCTGCCTGCGGTCAACTACGACAATATCACCGAACTCATAGAATTCGGACTGGGGCCACCTGCCATTGATATTCTCAACTAAAAAAAGCACTTTGCTATAACTGTTCCTACCCCATGTCTGCCGGACATTTGTTCGTCTGGCACTATCGTCGGACAACACACCCACTATCAAACCCTCCTTACGTTCATAACCGGCGTGGTCCAGGAATTTGTAGTTCACTGTGAGCCCGGAGATGCTGGTTTGTCCATGCAGAACCACTCCCGATTGTAAATTTAAGTCTGCCAACACTTTATCATATTCATCCAGGCTGAATATAAAACCATAACGACTGTGTGGGGAGCTGTGCAGTAAGTTATACAACAGCACCACGCATAGCAGAGTGGCGCACCAAGCGACCACTTTGACACTTTGACGCGTGATTGCACCTATAATTGTCATAATGTACTGTTAAACTACAAAATCCACTGTCTAAAGCTTGTAATTGCGGTACTATCAGCAAGCACTTCTTTATGACATCGTGCTCAAGTGAAACTTCTAATGGCCTGCTAGATTAACTTGAGTAAACAGCGTATTTATTTATTTAGATAATTTGTCTAAAATCACAATAAATTCGCTGAAAATATTTCATTGCTCTGTCCCAGAAACCCAGAGTCCCTTCTAAATTACACATTTCATACTTCCGCGTATTGGCGTAGTGTATTACCTAAAAGAGGTTGCGCGGGCTGTGTGTGAACAAATATTATATGTGTATGTAGGGTGTAGGCGGCTGCCGGGCACGGCTGGCGGCTGCGTTGGTTTATTCTTTTACTGTAAATAAATAATTAGTCCCATAGCCACTTTGTTGATGTTCAATTTAGGACGCTATGATATGTGTCTATATACATATACGTGTTTAGGCTGTGGAACAAATAAATGTTTGCACATCATATTGCCTTTAATTGGATTGATACAGTGACAAGAATCACGCTGTAATGTGAAAAATACACTGACTATATGACGTTTGTATCAAGACGTTTGTTGTATCGCAACGTCTGTATCAAGATTCATTGCCTTCGAAAGGAGCCAATGTGCATGCAGTTAGCTTGCAATCAAACAGAACTACTCAATTTAGTACAGTAGCTGCAGTTTCGCGTCCACAACTCTCAAGTGCTTTATATTAGCACCGAGTCACCGACTACAATTTGCAAATGTTTTTCCACATAGCTCACTTTCTCAAATATGTAGCTTTTGTCAAGTATGTAGCTGTATTGTGAGCAACGAAAGGTCTGCAGAGAAATTTCATTATATTATAAGTACATTTATATATATATATATATATATATATATATATATCTATATATATACGCTTATATATATATATATATATATATATATACATATATATATATATATATATATATATATATAAAGTATATATATATATTATACTATATATATATATATATATATGTATATATATATATATATATATATATATATATATATATAAATATATAACTTATAATATATTGTTTGTTTATTCATTATATATTTCTATACCAAGACCACGCGAGTTATTAGCTGCGTTGTTGAACATACTTCGCATTAGTGTAGTTGACAGATATCTTGAGTAGTTCATCGATTAGACAGCGGACATTGGTGTAATGTGCGATGGAGTTTCTACTAGAGTATTCTAAACCACTCACACAGCTTCGTTGTTTTGTATAGATTGTGACATCAATATAGAGTTTTTCATTTGAGATTCCTATTGCAAGCATCTTTTGGATTTTAATAAAAACAGACATAGACGAACTCCAGGCGAATATACCGAGAGCAAGGCTGTACTGTATGGTGGTGATCCATGCAAACTAATCTTAAGTGTCTACGTGTGTCTTTGTGAAGCATCATGCACTTTTTTTGCCCAATCGCCGTAGCTCATGCGTGGTGGTCGGATATCGCTGGAGCCACATAAGTAGCAACTGTACACCAGCGTTGACGCAGAAGTTGTCCATATTACTGATATGATACCACGGGGCCGCTCGCGTATATCTGGCATCCCATTATGTGTGTGATTTCTTTTCTATGATTTCGCTCATAGTATAGCACTGACGACGGTCCTAAATCACTGACGAATCTCTTGGGGGCCTATATTGATATTGAATGGTGTTTTCCATACGACTCTCATGCCGTATGAGTGTGAGATGAGTGGTTTTAAATCAATTGTGTGATGTACCAATGTGTGGCCTATAAACAGTGTAGCCATTGCGAACAGATAAATTGCGGTTGCACAAGATGCGAAGGAGAATTCCTCAATGAATGTGTTGGTGTCAGTGGAACAATCGATAGGTGCTTTGTATTATGCAATCTTATGCCACCGGAGTGTGTGATGAGGCTTATATCGAACTGAACAAAAGAAATTATCGCGTTATGTTTGTTGAACTGCCCAAATTAGGAATTTTAAATAAGGTTGCTATCTAATGGCTGTTAGCCTTCTGATCTGTATGCTCTGTCAACCATTCGCTGTATTAGAAGATATACAATGGGCAGTCAAAACAAGCGCCGCTAAAAATGTCACACAGTTGTCCGCTAGTATTGTAGTGTAACATGTGCGGCACGTCTTAGCATAGTATGTATTGTGAGACGTCAATTTGTCAATATGATCCGGTTCAGGGTACCTAAGCGGTGATTTGAATGATTAAACAGAACCGCTGAAATATTGCTACACGTTTGAAATCGAATGTGTTTTCAATGAGCTCTTTGAGACCCATCTCTCTGTAGCAAATCCAGTAGAATACACTGGTCAGCTAACAAATATTCCGGTGCACCCGTCCACCACTTTATTTCAAGATTGAAAACTAGGTGACGGTGGACACTCAGTGTGTTCTTGTAACAGATAAAACCTAGACCCGGGACTCACAAGGTTTCAGCATTGACTATCAATCAATCCAATACGCCTATGTACTGTAGAAATCTATGCCACACTACTGTTCCCAATGCACTCTCCGGAACTCAAACTTCTGCGTTCCGCGTGATATTTCTTCTGTATCACCGGCATTTGATAGTCACGACATACGACTGATAGCGCCTCAACGCCCTGTTTCATGGCCGCAGCGATGTTCCATGGCTTCCTGCGTAGCCGATCGCGTTGTGAAGCGATGAAGAGTGGCTTGGTGGTCGTGTGCACAGGCGGTCGTCCTTTTGTGCTTCCCATCGGAGCTGTTGCTGCTGTGCTATGAGAGCGACTAGTCATCTGCTATGAGAGGGTCTAGTCGTCTTAGGTGGTTTCGTTGATTCTGCGACCAGCCGGATCTCCACAGGACGTGGCGAGTGTGTTGATTGTGTTTGATAACCTGTTGAAGTGTTCGTATGAATACATGAGAAATGCGTTCTACCAATGCTTGAGCATGCCGACAACCAGAAGAAGATTGGACTACAGGAACGGGGTGCCTGTAACACTGATCAGGGTTTAGGAATTTAGAGTTTTGTATTCTCGGGCCATTTATTCAGGCGACTCTCTACTTCAGGTTGTGCGATTTAGTTATCATATGACCAGAATTATTGTTTTGATCAGAGAGGTACTGACAATACACAGCCGCAGATAAGAACAGGCAACAGGTTATTTATACACACTCATACAGCAATGTTTTTGCAGATCGTAGAAGACATACGAAACTTGTATGTCTAACGAAAGTCTAATGTATAAGCATTGAATGTTTTGGTGCGGGTCGTCTTTTCCGCAACTTTCTATCTAATAATAGAATACCGTCATACTAACTGAGACTAGTGTGTCCTGGGTTGTATAGTGCCTGTCCGTGATGTTGCCATGGGCAAGCTTGATGCCTTCATATAGCCGTTAGTATGTGTTGAGTTAGAACTCAAAAGCGTTTAACCTACTCTCCTTAACGTCTGTACTTCTCCTGTGCTGAGACTTGCACACAGTGTGCATTTGCTCAGAACATACTATAGTGAGAGTCGCAATAGTCAGTCGTGTGCGTGAGCTTACCCGTGGCATGGGAGGGTGTTGAGATAGCAGGGGATATCTATGACTGTGCATTTGCTCAGAACATACTATAGTGAGAGTCGCAATAGTCAGTCGTGTGCGTGCGCTTACCTGTGGCATGGGAGGGCGTTGAGATAGCAGGGGATATCTTTGACTGTGCATTTGCTCAGAACATACTATAGTGAGAGTCGCAATAGTCAGTCGTGTGTGTGAGCTTACCCGTGGCATGGGAGGGCGTTTAGATAGCAGGGTAGTGTCTTTGACTGTGCATTTGCTCAGATCATACTATAGTGAGAGTCGCATTAGTCAGTCGTGTGCGTGAGCTTACCCGTGGCATGGGAGGGCGTTGAGATAGCAGGGGATGTCCATGACCGTGCCTTTCTGTACATCAATTTGCGGCACAATGTCCTTGTCCGGTTTGACAATGAAGAATCTATTGAACAGAGTTCCGGTGGAGTAGTCGAAGTTGTATTTCGCCCCTGATACCTTGATACCTACACAACACAACGGAAAAGAAAAACGATAAGAGATCATTACAAACGCTCTGATCGGTAGAGTAATGATATCTCACGTGCAGATGCTTATTGGTAGCTTCAGGGTTTAAGGTTTTGTAGGATTGTAATGTAGTATGGCATTAGGGTTTAGAGTTTTGTAAGATTGCAATGTAGTATGGTATTGCAATGTAGTATGGTTTGTTGTTTTGGTTTGGTGTGGTGAGGTGCTGCTGGTAGCGGTTGCTGGTGATAGTCGGTGTGTGTGTTTGTGTACAAATGCGGTAGCTTTTCTGGTGATTGACGGTGTGTGTGTTTGTGTACAAATGCTCGTCCTGTACAGATATGCTGAGGTGGGCACTCGCACGTGATTAGAAAAAAAAACTCAATGGCCACCATTTGATATAGTGCCAGTTGCCGTGAGCGTTCCGTCTGCATGTTCCATTGCAACAACATGATATACCAAACCCTAAAACCTTAAAGCCACCACTGAACTACAGTTTGTAACCACACGACTGTTGGGAGACACCTCTAGCGCCGTAGATGCGAGACCACATACCGGGAGGAGAGAATGTGACTGTGGTGTAGTTGCGGTCGGCATAGTTTGCTGCGACCATGTTGGCCAACCCACCACCCAACGAATGGCCTGTGATCAGCACGTGGGTGGGGGGCACATTCAAGTCTCTCACGTACTGACCCAACGGCCGCAACAACTCAGGCTCGTTGCTGAAGGATGAGAAACTCACCACCAACCGTTCCAATTCTGCGCGAGTACGGAGGCAAATAATAGACCAGATAAGGTACGATAACACAAGAGAAGGGTTTAAGAACACCAAAACCCTACAACAAGAGAAGAGGTTAAGAACATTAAAACCCTAAAACAAGAGAGGGGTTAAGAACATTAAAA